GAGAATATTGCAATATAATTATCTATATATTCCATGTCTATGTATATATATATATATATATATATCTATTGTTAATTTCAAATGTTTTCTTAATTCATTTTTACAATCTATGTTAAAAAAATTTTTTCAATGTTTGAACATATTGCCACTTTGAAACATATTATATTATCTTGAGCAATATAAGTTTCATCTTTGTTCGTTTTACTCGGAACTGGGTAAAACCAAGCTTTCAGTATATTTGACAATACGTGACTTTCCAGACGAGATTACGTAAAGCAGTTAAATTCATCGTAGTATTCTCGAGCCTTCAAACAACGAAACTATCGAGACTTTCTCCATTCCAAAGAAGCCAAAACGAGCTGTAGTAACTGGGTCTGGTCTAACCAATCAATTTTCGGGTTAAACGGATTTCACGTCGGCCAAAAGTGAAACTTTTATTTTACTCCGCTCCCTTATTTCCAAAGAACTTTAAGAATAGAAGTTGCAATTTTCGAAGAGAAGATTCACGAAACGACGCGATACTTTAAAACGTAGACGATATAACGATGAAACGTACGATATAACGATTGCTATACGTTGTACGTTATACGTCGTATCAAAAAATACATGGAACATTTGTGAGAGAGTCACGGTGGCGTGCGAGCCGTTTCCTCGAAGGTCCATTGCTGAGATCTGTGGCACACTGCGTCACTCCGCTCCGCTCCGTGCTGTACAACTCAGCATTAATGGTCTTCCCGTTTGAAAATCGAAGGACATTGGCGCGTGGACGGCCTCGCATCGGGACATTTTCCGTGAATGTTGCGTATAACCACGCTTAAAATACATCACGCACTATCACCCCATCCATTCCATTTCGATGGAGGTCACCCGGTAGCTTAAGTGGGTCTCGACCACTTGGTTAGTGTGTCATGGCGTACTCGTTGCTGAATAAACTTAATCTCAATACCGGTGTTAATAAATTAGCCGTTATAGACTTACGCGAATCTTTTTCGTTTTTTTTCACTAATCTGTATTACAGTTTGCTATTTTTTAATCAATTCGTAATACAATCATTAGTTGTATTTTCAATTATTCGGATCGTATTCTTTTAAATAAATTTTTTATTTAGAAATTTCATTCGGAGAAAGAGAATAGATTCTTGGATTTCACAAAATTTCGACTATTTGGTTTTTATGAAATTCCGTAATGTTTCACTTTGATGCATTTTATCATTTAAATTTGATCATATATCCATGATAACTCTGTTTTGTAATCGATTCCGCGATTTTTCAAACAAACAAATCGATTGAATATAGAACATATCGAGAATTATACATTTAAATATGAACTTATAACGCATTTATATCACAGGCATCATTTGAATTAATTTCCCAAAATCGAACGATTCGGGGCATTTTTTATCATTTATGAAAGATCTATGATCTTTGAGTTTGCTCGATGGAATATGGTTTATTTTAAAAAAAAATATATAATTCTTTACGTCGATATAATTTTTCTTTTCCTTGTTTCTCATTTTCCTTTTATTTTCTTCGCTCTCTTCTCCCGTATTGATGTTTATTTTTGCGATGGCAATCAATATGTTTAAAAGCGTACGATAGATATTTCATTTAAATGAAATGGATCGATATAATCGACTTCAAGTATCGAAACTATGTCGAAGATTCAGAATCTCGTAAAATTTCTTCTCGTTCTTAATCTCTAATCATTGCCATAAAATTAAATTTTTTAAACCAATCGAAAAAAAAATTTCTGTTCTGTCTTTGAGAGCTACATGCGCGCGCGCGCGCACACACACACACACACACACACACACATCATATAAGACCCGTATATGTGCAACACATATTTAGACCAAATTTAGACCACATTTAGACCAATAGTTTTTGCAAGCCACAGAATGGAAATTATTGCTAATTTTTCATTCTTATCCTGGGTTATAATTTGAACGAAATTCAGATTATCGTGATAATTATTATCGTACAGTAGATGGATCGAAAACGTTATCGGGTTTCTACCGCGTTTCGCGGAAAGTAATCTACAATAGTTAATTATTAGTTTCCGCATTTGCTTTTTCTTTTGCATTTTTTTCCGTTGTCTGCTCGATAATAACATGACGATAATAACATTCCGTTGTTAAGAACGGGAAAAAAATATTTATCAATAATGTACGAATTATATTTATATAATTTTGTTTTTTTTTAAAAAGATTTTTTTATCGAAAATAACTACGTATTAGTGTTAGTTTTGTCTAATGTATGTCCAATTTTTTATATTAAATATACCATAATATTGTTCTGAAATGTATATGCGATTCTTTATAGTTTATCGTTTATCATTTCTATGATAATTATTGTAAAAAAATACAACATTGTATCAATGTATATCTTCTCAATTATAAACCTTTAATCATTCGAGTCACAAAAATAACAAACATTGCGTTGTCACTTAATGTAACATTCGAATATCATGATGAATAATGTTATATTACCGACTAAATTAGATATTTTTATAATATGGAAAAAATTAATTTGATTTGTTTTTGATTGATTTTAACGTCACATAAAGTATTTGGGATTATATTTTGCGTGAATCTCTCAAAAATTACTTAAACCATTCGACTTTATTTTTCGCAATATTCTTGATTTTAACATTAAATAATTGATATTTAACTTTTCGGAAAGCAAACTTTGGTTCCTATGTGATTCATATATTCGTCGCTTAACACAGATTTTAAAATATGTTTTTCGCGATTGATTATAAACGTTTTATTGCGTATTGTATGTTACATGATTTTTCATTCACTTTTTTGCTATTTGAAATAATATCAGTGTTTATTTGTTTCAAGTTATTTGTTATATATAATTTATATTTATATATTTATTTATGAATCTGTCAATAAAATATATTTATTTCGAATATATATTTCATATGAATAATGAAAGCTGTGAAACTATTTATTAGACATATATCGAGACTATTACTATTTACTATTGAACATTTTTACTATTGAATCATTTCATATTGATTTGACAAATTATTTGTAGAATTATAATATAATAATATTTAAATTTAAACATTAATAAATTTAAAAGGTAATCCAATCTTGCATGTTTAATATGTTTATAATAAAATAATAATTTGAATCGATCGTATTAAACGATTTATCGATTTATGATAATTAGAAATAACTATACTTTCTAAGTTAGTTGTACATATGCTTAGTAAAACTCAATAATAAGAATGCGAGAAATTTAAAAATCCATTCCATTCTATTACTATTCGGGCATTCGGAATCGTTATAATTGCGTTAATATAATTATCATTAATCATTAATATAATTATTGCGAATGGATTGAAGGAAAAAGAATTTTTAACAAATATTTTCTTAATCTTCTATCGCACTTATTTTACTTTTATTATTAGAACTTTTAAAATCTTTGAAAATTCGTCTCAAATTATCTATTATCTCGTTGAAAATGGAATCTCAATGGAAATGAAATCTGTTGCGGCATTGGTTGAAATGACAAGAGTCGTGACGTAATGATAATAGATAAGTTGCGTTCGATCTACGAGAAGGCATCGATCGTGCTGGTGGTAATGGTAGTAGTGGTGATGTAGTGTGAGTCGTTAGAGGCGGTTTTACCATGGGTGGAAATAGTTCTCGACAAGCGTATAGGCAAAACGGAGAAGGCTAGAAACGGTCAGGGAGAGACGGATTAGACGGAGAGACGATGGATAAGAATGTGTGTCTAGTTTAGTGGGCAAGTAGGTCGCCAGGGAAACCAACGCTGCTGAGTTACGCAACGTAGTTCCAGTGTTATACAACTATTGACTCACCGGATTAACAAGTAGGTTGGGTGAAAACGAAAGCCGAGTGTCCGCCGTGCTGCCTTTTCTCTCTTGCCTCCTCCTCCTCCTCCTCCTCCTTCTCCTTTTCCTCCTCTATCTCTTCCTCCTCCTTCTCCTCCATCTCTTCCTTCTCTTCCCCTTCTCCCCTCTGTTCTCCCTCCATTTCCCTTTTCGTTCAAACCCATGCCGTGCAGCGTCTCGCTTTCGCTTTACGCCATGTTTCACGCAAGCGAAAAAATTCTCAACTTGAACAGTATATTCTCATCATTTTCTTATATATGTATATTATTTCTCCCGAGAATACGAATGATCAAATTCTCGTGATCATTTTTCCTTTTTTAGAATGTTATCGATTATCAAATAGTAATAGGCGATAATATTATAATCACATTTTATCGCATTTTTAAGATACATATTATGGCGAATATTCGGCGAATATTGGGCGTGTATGTATTTCTTTTCTTTTCTTTTCTTTTTTTTTGTTTTTTTTTTCTCCTTTCTTTGGCAGTCGAAAGGAAAGAATCAGGCCAGAAAGTCTCGTCGAGTGAATTTCTTTCTCGCGCGGAAACACGCTAGCGATGCTATGCAAATCGCGGCACAGAAATCACCGTTGCCGCTCAATTACCCGTTCGACTTGAACGTCTGATCTAAAAATAACATCCACTTAATGCCATGCAGTTTTAACGAGACCACTTCACGAGACAATCGAGGTAGTCATATACAAATACCGTATGTACGTATTTGTTTTAGCTATTAGAAAAGCAGAATTTCGTTAATGCTCATTCGGCTTAAAATTTATTTCGTTGAAATATATTTGATCAAACGACATGATTAAGATTTCTCTTTCTCAATGATCAAATAAGAAATCTTAATCATTTTTTTTTCCTATATATGAGACATAATATTGAAAAGTATCGTAATTGTAACAATTTGTTTGAAAAATATTATTCTATTGTGTAATAATTATTCTCAAATATTTTTTCAATTATTCGAGAATCATATTTTTTTAATATTTTCTTTTCTGAAACAAAAAACAAGTTAAGGAAAATTAAGTCATACGAGTGTAATGAAACAATGATAAATTTGTTATTGACTTTAATGGTGATCAAAAAAGATAAAGACAAGAAATTCCTGAATAGTATTGTCGTTATATAGATTATTTATTTTTAATTGTATTTTTCAAAAAATAAAATAAAATAAAATAATTTCATTCGATAAATTAATCAAATAAATAAATTGTTGTAGACATCGATAACGATCCAATAACGAAAATGCGAAAAAATCATTATATAATATAATATATTTTATTAGAGAAAATAATTTGGTAATGTAAATTCAATGATAATTGATAATTTTGAAAAATTGCAATAATAACGAAATAAGGCGCCAGTATTTTTTTTTTATCAAATCTT